GAGCCATGGACCCTCCAGTTGTTCTAGGTGCAAGGCCTCGAGGGGGATGGGAACACAGGCTAAGGGCTATTCTTTCCCCTTCTCCCCCCTCCCTTCCCCGGCAGGTGAAAGGTCCCTGGCATCCTGGACAGGCTCTGCCTTCACTGAGGAGTGGAGCCTCAGTTGGAAAAGGAAGGGCAGAGGTGAGGCCACAACGGGAACCAAGCCTCAGCCTCTCGCCCTTTTAGGATACCTACTTTTGAAAGGTTCTGAGTCAGAACCTAGTGAAGTAGGGTGAGCCTGGGTTCTCCTATCCATTACACCACACACACACGCCACTCAGAAGTACTGCTGCTGAGGTGATTTGGACCCTCGCCACACCTGATAGTTGCCCAATGGCACTGCACATGTTAATGTTTTACAATACCAATTGTTGGGATTTTGTGGTTCCCAGAGAGTCAGGTGCTGGGCAGAATCAAGGGAATTCAATTCAATTCAATACTTTATTCAATGTGCACAAAGGGAGAGCCCCTGGTACTAAAATCAGCCAGAGCCCCTCGAGCAAGGAGCCCCTCCCCTTGCTGTTTTATAGCACATGGTTACAGGTTACATAACACAAACTTCTAAACCAATCAGATTCAACATTAAGTCAGTTGGCTTTGTTTGTCACATGCTTGTACTTCTCCACTCCACATGTTGAGTTCACCCCCCTCCCCCTGGCCTTTTCTAGGCTGTTGCTAGGGTGGAGCCACAGCATGCTTCTTTCTGCACAGCTACTTTCCAAAGCACGTTCTGTTTAAAATGAACACATGCAAACCCTTCAAGGCAGAGGGCAGGTGGGGAGGTGCTGACCTCACAGAGGGACCCACATCTCAGGCTGATAAAAGCGGGGGGCGGGCCCAGGGGACTTTGGAGACCCCCGGTTGCTTTAGCTCTGGTGCGTCTCCTCCTCACGGTTCCTTCGCGTTCTGTGAGTTCCACATCCCGACACCTTTGTGACGAAGGTAAGAGCCCCCAGGGGTTGGATCCCGCCCGGGGCCGGCTGGGTTCCAGGCAGGCCCAGCCCTCGGTCAAGGGCCAGAAGGTGATTCCTCACCTGGGCTGCGTCCTTAGCGCCACTGGGGCTTTCTCCTGGTTGGTTTCCCTTTTCCTCCATCCCCCCACATTTCTGCTCTGTTCTTGCCTCCTCTGTGACCTTCCCTTGCTGCCTCCCCCAGCTTGGGACCCAACAGACTAGCTGAAGGACGGGGGGTGGTTTGCAGGAGCCGTGGGGTGGGGACTGGGGAGGTGGGGCTGGAACAAGTCTATGCCGGTGTCTTTGGGGAGAACGCTCCACCCCCCACACCTTAGATTCTCCCCTGATTGGCCAAGAAGGGGCTGTTGATGGGCAGGAGACTCGTGGAATGAGGAGTAACGGTAGTTTGAACTAGGAAGCCTAGTTCGAACTACCTAGTTCGTGCCCCGTGTAGCCGCGCTGCACGGGGTTCGAACGAGCGGGGTTTTAAAAATGGCGGCTCCCCGCTTATGCAAATGAAGCCCGGGAAATTCAAATCCCGGGTTCAGTTCGGGGGTCCTGTGAGACACACTGAGATAACAATTTGCAATATTCAGCAAGCTGGTCACCCATGACATACAACTCCCCGCTCCAATGCACAGATTTCCTGGCGTCCTCATCGCCCGCCCTGTCAGCATTTCAAAAGGAGATAAGGAATGTGGATTAGTAGGACTGGATCTCATAGACATGAGAACCACTGGTAAATTGGTGACCCAGTCTTTCCCTGTAGCAGAAAACATCTGTTTGGTTAGTTTGTTTTTAATGGTTCGGTTAGCTCTTTCTACTAATCCCGAACTCTGGGGATGGTAGGGACAGTGGAATTTCTGTTTGATCCCCAGTGACATGCATACTGTTTTCATCACCTTCCCTGTAAAGTGGGTACCTTGGTCACTATCAATGAAGCATGGAAATCCCCATCGGGGAATTATTTCGGTCATCAATATTTTAGCTACATCAGATGCAGTGGCCTTGGCCACTGGGAAAGCTTCTACCCACTTAGTAAAGTGATCCATGATCACCAGAACATATTCTTTCCCTCTGCACCTTGACAGAGGTCCAATGAAATCTATTTGTAACTGTGTGAAGGGCTGTGTTGGTCTTGGCTGATGTTGCATTTTCATTTTCACTGTGGGAGCAGAATTACATTGAGCACATGTTACACACCTCCTCACATAATCATGCACATTTGCATTAAGCTGAGGATGCCACCAGGTGTCCGACATCCGGTGGATCACCCTCCGTGCTCCATCATGTCCCAACATGTGATATATTTGTATCATAGTTCCCATCAGCACATTTGGTAACACTAATGTGTTTCCTGGGCCTCTCCAAGTGTTATCATCACACAGTTTTCCCCCATTATCCATCCATAACCACTTTTCTGCCCTTGGTGCAGAGTGTTGGATGTCCTGTAATTCAAAAAAGTTTGGGGTTTTTATGAGAGGCTGTGTTGCAGCAATCAATTGCATCTCTTTACCTTCCACTGCTGCTCGTTTAGCTAGTTCGTCTGCCCTTCGGTTCCCCTTACTATGAGGGTCTGTCCCTTTTGTGTGGGCCCTCACTTTTATCACTGCTAATTCAGTAGGTTTCTGCATGGCTTCATGAAGTTTCTCCACTATTCCCCCATTTTGTACTGGGGATCCTGTACTGGTCAGGAATCCCCGATTTACCCACAAGTTAACATAATCATGTACAACCCCAAACGCATATCTAGAATCAGTATATATGTTTACAGCATGACCTTTCGCAGCTTCACATGCTGCAACTAATGCCTGCAGTTCTGCTACTTGTGCAGATGCCCCAGGCAAACTGCTGTGTGCCACCAGCTGTCCATCTTGAGTACAAACTCAAGCGACACCCATCCCCTTGCCATCCACATAGAAGGAAGAACCATCCACATATAGGCAAGGGGCACCAGGTATTTCAGTTTCTTTTACCAATGGAACGTCCATGGGCTCTTCCTCAAGGCAACAATGATGTGGGTGTCCCTCATCTGGGGTAGGCATGAGGGTAGCAGGGTTTAACGATGACGCTCTTTGCAGATGTACCGAAGGCATTAGCAAGCTCATTTCCCATCGAGTCCATCTTGCCACATGGACTGCTGAGGATTTCTTCCCTGATAAAATAGCAAGGACAGCGTGAGGTACAACAATATTTACATCCTGTGAACCAATAAGTGGTGTGGCCTGATTTAGGGCCATAGAAGCTCCTTCCACTGCCTGAAGGCATGGTGGCATTGCTTGAGCGACAGCATCTAGTTTAGAAGAGTAGTATGCTACTGGGCGCTGTTTATCCCCATGTTTTTGCGTTAACACTGCTGCCATATGTCCCTCACTGACATGCGTGTACAATGTAAAAGGCATTAATGGATTAGGAAGTCCCAACCCTGGGGCAGTACTTAGCCTTTGTTTCAATGTGGTAAATGCCTGTTCACAGTCAAGTGTCCATTCAATTGCCTCATGTGGTCCACCAGCACCCTTCAGGAGATTATTAAGAGGCTGGACAATCCTTGAATAATTGGGGATTTGAGTTCGGCAGAAATTGAATAGCCCCAACACTTTCCTAACTCCCCTGACCGTAGTTGGTCGTGGGCATGCATTAATAGCCTCAGTGCGGTCAACAGTTAAACGCTTGTACCCTTTGGATATTAGGTACCCCAGATATGATACTTCCCCCTTTGCAATCTGAGCCTTTCTAGCATTACATTTTACCCCACTGTCTGCCAAGTGCTGCAGGATCACTTCTAAGTCTTTCATGTGCGTTTGGCGATCTGGTGAGGAGATAAGAAGATCATCAACATACTGTACAACACAAGAAGCCATGTCTGGCAGCTTTGCCAGCACATCAGCTAATGCTCTATGAAACAAAGTAGATGAGTTATGAAAACCCTGGCTTAGGCGAGTAAAAGTATATTGCTTCCCTTTAACAGTAAATGCAAACCAAAATTGACTGTCAGGGTGCACAGGACATTTTGCTTTTACCATGGTGAAAACATCAAAAGCATGCAGGCCTCCCACGACCATCCACTCCTGCACCTTTTCCCAGAAGGGTAGGTTTGGGTTATTAAGCTGCAAAGATGGCAATTCTTTTAACATGCTCCGCAAGTCAGATGGACTCATAGGAGTGTGCTCTAGGCGACTAACAGTAGCAGGGTCCCCTTCCCCTTGATTAGGATTAGGGACAGTGTGCACTCTCACTGGAGCCATAAAACCAGACTGATATCCCCACATACCACATGTAGGGTCCAAAGGTGCTGAGGGACAAGATCTCTCTTCCTGCAAGGCTGTTTCTTTATAGTTTTTTGCTTCTGTTTGCAGTTTTTCTACCTCTGCTTCTAACTCTCCTATCCTTCCTTTTAGCATATTGCACTTTCTAACCAGCTGTTCATAATCAACAATTAAACACATCCCAGCCATTTTGTCCTTTGATAAATATTGTGGTTTATGCACAAAATCAGTATTGCCCACTTGTAATGGGGGTTGGTCATCCTTCTTTCTTTCAGTCACACAGCCAAGATATCTCAACAAGAAAACTAATAAACTTACTGCTACAATAGTGATAAAAGCACTAATTAAACACTCTTCATATTGTGGATCACTAAATCCCTTCATCT